GAGCTTCGTGATCCTTGAGGTCCCTTCCAACCCAACCGTTCTGTGATGCTGTGTGATGTTTGCTGGTGCATGGGGGTATCTCCAAATCAAACACAACCAGGCAAAAGCCAAACCAGATTTCAGGCTGAGCCCTGAAACCCCACGTGAGCAGAATCAGAAGAATCAGAAAGCCACGTGCTTGCTTCTGCCCTTCCCTGGAACAACGACAACTTTGGAAGGATCACAGAACCATTAAGCTTGGAGAAGAACCTCAGAGAGCCCCAAAGCCAACCCCACACACCCCACCATGCCCACTGACCACATCCCCATGTGTCATTCTTGGACACCCCCTGGGATGATCACCCCAAGCCCCCTGGGCAGCTTCTGCCAGTGCCTGACTGCTCTTTGGAGAAGAAATACTTCCAAGCACCCATCCTGACCCTCCCGTGGCACAACGTGAGGCCGTTACCTCTCATCTCAGAGGGCGACGAACAGGCAAAACAGTTTCCTTCAAAGTTTGGGCTTTTTGGAAGACAGGCTGCTTCTGGAAAATCAGGTCAAACCAACCACGCATTTCCATGAGAACAGCTCCTCTCTGCCCGGGCAGCTTTGATTTCTGTGGCTCTGAAGGTCAGCTCCTTCAGAGCAATGGAATCTCAGATAGCTGAGTGCAGCCCCGCGGGCCGGGTCTCCTCCTCCCTCATACTCTAAATTGCTTAAAAACAAAAGCATGTCAAGATGTTGTAACTACATAATCCTCATCAAAATCACAAGATGGTATTTGCATCTGGCCAGCGGATCAAAGGATTGTTTTTATATAAACAAATTTAAGGCAGCATTTGCTAAACCCATAATCTCAAGCAAATGGTCGGTGCCAATGTAAGAAGCCCTAATCCGCAGCAGCGAGTCGGTGCAGCACACATGTGAGTGCAGTCATGGCAGAGCATGGCTTCACCATCACTATGGGATGGAGGAGGGCTGGGCAGGCTGTGGCACAGCCCTTGGAGCACTCCTGCTCTGGCATCCATGTGAGCGCACAGACTTGGCTGCAGAGCTCAGATAAAAGGCATGAGTGGGAACAAAAGTGTTGGTAACAGCATCATCTGGTCAAAAGGAGATGCAAAGTCTCCAGTAACAGCTTGGGCTATTTCGAGTCATGCATTTCTGCCTCAAAATGGCTCTGGAGCAGAAGTCAAGCTCAGCACCCAGAGTCACTAAAAGGCTTACAGCTCTGCTTGCTTGATGGCGCTTGGTTCAAGTTTTCAACTTCTAACCTGGAGAATTAAGGAGAATTTGAAGGTAAAAGGCAATAGAGGCTTGCCTGGTTTCACGTTCCAGGACAGACACACGGGCAGGTCAGCATCTGAAGGCACAAGAGCAGGCAAACACAGCCTTTAGCTCCTAGAATCACAGCGTGGCTGGGTCAGAAGGGACCCCACAACCCCCACTCCACCAAATACTGTCTTTCTCTCCTAAGAGACCAAGGTACAAGAATCTACCACCACCTGCTGACTTCATCATCCTCCGAACAAAGCAGTACTCGGCACATCCTCTGCCCCCAGCTCTACGTGTGACCAAAGGTGAGCATTTCCTGCTGCAAGAAGGGCGCTCGCTCCCACTGCGGAGGAGAGGAAGCGCTGGGGCTCGGCTGCAGGCTGGGAGCGGTTCTGCGTGCCCCCATCCGGGCAGAGCTGTGCCTGCAGCCCCCACAGAGCCACCTCGTGGCCACGGTGTGCTCGGGATGCCCGGAGCGCTGCCCCCAGCACGACAAGGAACCTGCATCGCTGCTGGAGCTCTAAAGCCACAGCAGTGAGCTGGGCAGTGCAGGAAGGCAGCGCGTCGGCACGCAGGTGCCCGAGGCCCTGAGCAAGCAGTACAGCGCAGCAGCACGAACGCTGCAGAAACTCAGCTCCCCTAACGACCTTCTCCTTTGCACAGAAGGTGCTCGGCCCTCAGTGCACAGGAGGAGAGCCACCCTCGCTCCTGCCACAGCCCCCCAGCTCAGGTGTGCGGCCCACAGCTGCTGAGCCCGGGGCAGAGCCGTGCAGGGCTGCAGGCAGAGCCCACGGCAATCCCTCAGCGTTACGTAAAGACCCCGCGGTCGTAAGAGGATTACCCCAGAACTTAGCAAATTACGATGCTCAGCCAGTTGTTAGAAAGAATAAAACGCTTTCTTCTTAATCTGTGCCTTTCCAGTGACATCTTTAAAATTAACTATTATTAAATCTTTGCTCTAGGACGCATCTCGGTGGCCACAAAGCGCTCAGCACCTCCTCCTCCTCTCCATCTCTTTGCACTCCGCGTCAAACAACCCGAGTCCCAGCTTAAACTCACCTAACCTGGCTCGTGGCTTTAGAAACAGAGTGCAACAAACCCGAAATAGCTGGAGCCTGCCAGGCTGTGTGATGAAACCTCTCCTGACTGGGGAAGGGCAGCAGACAGTGCGCTGTCTGAACACATTTGTAGCTTTAACATCAAGAAATGAACGGCAGGGGCTGAGTGCCTGCTGTGGGAGCTGCTGTGCTCTGCCGGCAGCTCGGGGCTCCTTGCAGCAGGATGAGGGCAGGGAGCAGAACTCACTGTGCCTCCCCAGGGCTGTGCTGGGGCTCCTGGGCAGGCACTCGTGTGGTGTGGGCTCAGAATAGGAGCATGCAGCTTCACATCCTGTTGTATGGGCCCCAGAATAGGAGCATGCAGCTCCACAGCTTCTTTAAAGCAATCAGAGAGAGGCTCCAGGAGAAATACGTACCTCACTCACTTTGGGGGAAAAACTTATCAGACTAATTAAGACATAAAAGATGAAATGCTAGACTAGCCTGCAGTAAAGTGACACCATTTGAAGGTGCGGAGTGACAACCCTCACCCTCCGTGCACGAGGGCTGGAAAGCAAAATCACATCCAATCCACTTGGGCAAGCGTGCTCTCTGGTCTCTTTAGTTACTGTCTCATTTTGGTCTTGCCAAAGATGTAGATAATGCTCATAATTGTGCTGCAACTATCCCAAAAAAGGGAAAAATCAACTCTCCGGAGCAAGACCAGATGCAGAATGGTGCTCCCACCACCCACAGGAGCACACAGCTCTGCCCAGGCACACACACAGGGGAGGAATGGGGCTTGCAGAGCTGGGAATGGGTGTTTGAAACACACGTCGTGTTGAGATGTTAGCAGTAACTGAAAAAATCCAGTGCTGAGATACTGCAGGATCTGCTACATGCAGCACAAAGAATTGTTTCAGAACATCCTTCTGCCACATGCAAAAACAGTAACAAGCGTGTTGCTCTACCCCCCTTCTGCAGGGCTTGAACATAAATACCTGTCACTACAGTTCCTATAATTGAATGGGATAACATCCATCTGAATAGAGCAAAGCTCCAAGGCTTACAGCCTCCTTGCCCGCTTCCTTCCTTCCCCATTGTTTGTCCCAATGTAACGAGCTGTGTTAGGTGGAAAATCCTGAGCAGTACTTTCTGTATTGCAGGACACCTGGCTCGCTTCTAAACAAAGCAACCCAGCGCTCCAAAACAGAGCATGTTCCCTTTCTGTGATTCCCCAGCCCACAGCCCCGCAGTGCTCAGTTCTGCTGTAGATGTTAATTACAGTTCTCTTGCACATCCCACTTTCATCAGCATTAATGAGCATTAAGATTAAGGCAAAGAAAAAGACACCAAACTTTCTTCTGCAGGAAACCACCAGGCCACCCCTCTGGGAGGGATCAGCATTCTTGTCGACGTAGCAAAAACAAAAGTCAAAGGCAACCAGCCTCAATCTGAGGGGGAACAAAGAACCCAAGTATGTATTCATAGAATCACAGAACAGCCTGGGTTGCAAAGGAGCACGATGCTCATCCAGCTCCAACCCCTGCTGTGTGCAGGTCGCCAACCAGCAGCCCAGGCTGCCCAGAGCCACATCCAGCCTGGCTTTGAATGCCTGCAGGGATGGGGCATCCACAGCCTCCTTGGGCAACCTGTGCCAGTGCCTCACCACCCTCTGGCTCAAAAACTTCCTCCTCATATCCAACCCAAACCTCCCCTGTCTCACTTTCAAACCATTCCCCTTGTCCCATCACCACCCACCCTCACAAACAGCCGTTCCCCCCCCTGTTTATCTGCTCCCTTCAAGCACTGGAAGGCCACCATGAGGTCTCCCCACAGCCTTCTCTTCTCCAAGCTAAGCAATCCCACTTCTCCCAACCTTTCCTCATAGGAGAGCTGCTCCAGCCCTCTGCTCATCTCAGTGCCCTCCTCTGGACCCGCTCCAAGAGCTCCACATCCTTCCTTGCTGGATGTATTGAGAAGCACTAGGAAGGACCCCCTCACGTCTCACCGCTTTCCTTTTCACTCAGCTGGGGTCTGTTTTCACCTCTCCTTCATCTCAGTTTCTGACAGAGCTGCAACACCACTGGATGTGAGCATGCAGTGCAAACACTCCCAGCAGCAGACAGAGCTGCAGGTGCCCCTGGTCGCTGCAGTGAGGTGGACCTGGGAGCATTCAGAGCTCCCCTCCAACTCAAACAGTTCTGTGGCTCTAAATCAAAAGCAGCAGATCCTTGGACTGCTGGACACAGAAGGCTTCAGCTGTGGGCATCAGCCTCAGCTGCTCAGCACACAGCGTGGCCCTGTGAAGGCGCACACCTCATCAGCAGCAGGCTACGGACACTCCATATGGGGTTATCAAACCATGTGCTGTTCTGGGATGGGAAGCACTGAACGTGTGACAGCAGTGTGGCACTCACACCCCTCAGACCGTACTTCCTCTAAAAAGCTCCAGCCTGCAAGTCATTATTATAAGTAACAGCACCTTGTGTTGAGTAGGAACGACTCTACAGGCTGCAGAACAGAAGGCAGAGCAGAAGAATCCGAACTCCATCCTTAGCTCTTAAAATAACTGGCTCAGCCTAAAACCAGTAACATCTAAGGACATTTCGTAGCGGGCCCAGCAAAATCACAGCGAGAAGAAAGTCCTGCAACGCTGAGTACAGCAGGTTTGCTCTTGTACTTCAGACACTTACGTTCCGCCTGAATGCCGTCAGCGTGGGCTTTGCTTTTTGGTTCCTGGCTCCCTGCATCGTCGTCGTCCAGCAGAGGCACGTAATCTGTTTTGTCCACCGTCTCTCCAACCACGTCGTCAAACTTCTCCGCTTCCAGCGTGGCAATGAAGTCCCGTTTCACCTCCTCCTCAATCTCAGGAGGTGGCTCTGTCAGAGCATCCGCAAGGCTCAGGCTGTGATCCAAGTCAGCCATGGCTTAGCACCTGTGCAACCTGCATCATTTGGGGAAGAAGGAAAAGAAACAAGTGTGTTTTAGTAAGGGATGCTGTAAGCGCAGAGTTTGGCTGGCACAACAAGTAACATTTGTTTTAGTGCTCAATAATTCCCAGATGTTCACAGAACCCTCACTGCAGCACATGAACCAAAGCAAAAACCTTCACCATCCCAACCAGGTTGTACTGCATGAATACTGCTACGTACCACGGGATGTTGCATCACAACCCTGAACTCAATCACGACGCAGAAGGGCAATACCTGCCCTGCACAAGCAGCCCTACATCGATTTGTGCCCTGCCTCAGATCTGTGAGTTAATTACAGATCCTCAGAAGCAGACACACAAGTGTGACGCACACGAATTCAGTTCTTGGTCGGCCTCCACCCAGCCTCCCCTATGGAGATTAGGGTTTTACGTAACCTGATGGATACTCCAGCAATGCTTTTGATCCAGCAGAGTGTTTATGTCCTCAACGAACCTTGCTAATGCCAACAAACCCATCCTAACCCTGGGATTTGGACTGGAAGGTAAAACTTCTAATAATATTTACATGGAATAAAAAATAGAGTGGAGCACAGATACACAACACACACAAAGCTACAAACTGGGAACACGAGGCACAAAGAGCCACCATTCATCTTCTCCTCCCCAGTCTAAAGCTCAGTAGTGAATTTAAGTTCCTCACAACAGACAGACACCAAGAGCCACTGAGTTACACGAGGAGAAAGCAGTACTGGAGCTGCAGACACAAAATGCTATCATAGAATCATAATCATAGAATGGCCTGGGTTGCAAAGGAGCACGATGCTCATCCAGCTCCAAGCCCTGCTGTGTGCAGGTCACCAACCAGCAGCCCAGGCTGCCCAGAGCCACATCCAGCCTGGCCTTGAATGCCTGCAGGGATGGGGCATCCACAGCCTCCTTGGGCAACCTGGACTCCTGCACCCACTGCTGTAAGCACCATATTGGGGTCCCACACCAACAAAACACATCCAAACCTGAAACTTTACATCAATGGCATTTAGGGAAACCTCTTGTTAACCTCACTCCAAATGATCATAAGCAAAAGGCAGCTGGGCGCAATGACTGCAATCAGTTCACACATCCATATCCATAAACATTCCTGCTATTTTAATTCCAAGCACAGGAGGGGCCTTGACAACTTAATTTAGGGTCTGTCCAAACAGCAGGTCATTGCCATCCTCCCACTCTACTGGAAACCATTGCCCAACCACCCTACAAGAAGCCCTTCAGCACTGAGCATCCCCTCCCAGTGCAATCTGTGCCAGGTGGGCGTCCTCAGCCAGGTTCAAAACTCATAAAACGTGCATTGCCACAACCCTGCAGGCAGAGAAGGCTTATTAGTGCTACTCAGATGGCCTAGAAATTACTTAGTTGTTGCTCCATTGAGATACTCTGTCATCATTCCTTTGGCCTGCCATTCAGCATGGAGAAGAGAAGCTGCGGGGTGACCTGAGTGCAGCCTGCAGTGCCTAAAGGGAGCCTGCAGCCAGGAGGGGAGTCAGCTCTTGGAAAGGGGAGATGGCAGCAGGACGAGGGAAATGGTTTGGAGCTGAGGGAGGGCAGCTGGAGGTTGGATGTCAGGGGAAGTTGTGTGCTGTGAGAGCGGTGAGGGGCTGGAACAGCTGCCCAGAGAGGCTGTGATGCCCCGTCCATCCGTGGAGGTGTTGGAGGCCAGGTTGGATGGGGCCCTGGGCAGCCTGGGCTGCTGTGAAATGGGGAGGTTGGTGGCCCTGCATTGGTGGGGGGTTGGAGCTTCGTGATCCTTGAGGTCCCTTCCAACCCAACCTTGCTGTGATGCTGTGTGAATTAACCTTGCAAATGCCTGCAGAGCACCAGCAGAGCAGGAGCTGCCACGTGGACAGGGCTGGGCATCCCAGCAGGAATTCTCAAACCCAAACTAAGGCTGATCCCACCCAGAGTCCCCCCTGGCACAGAATATCCCACCACAGCTCTGGTTCACACCATGCAGCTGCTGTTCCTCATCCCTGTGGTGGCACCACTTCTCTTTTCAATGCTTGCTGTGGAGTGGCACTGATGGTGTCTGTGTCAGTCCTGCATAGGAGCTGGGACACTGAAACAGCCCAGCTGCTGGGAAAAACTAATCATGAGTTGATGCAGATTTATCAGCAGGACATTTCCTTGTCTATATTTAACCTATAGCAACGAGGATGATGTCCCTGGGGCTGTGCAGCGAGGTGTGGGAAGGAACACAGCATGGCACACCAGCCCGCAGCAACCACAGTGATGGAGGAGAGGAAAAGAGCTTTCCTGTAGCGATGCATTTTTCAGCCCATTCCAAGAAGTCTTCAAATTGCTCCACAGCAAATCAATCCTTCCCTCTTTTTGGTTTGTTTTTTTTTTGTTGTTGTTGCTGTTTTCTTCCCTGGGCAAAATGATTTGTTCAGACCTCCTGTCCCAGCAGCAGCTGGTTGCTTACACCCAGTATCTGCCCCATCTGTTCTGCTTTCTGACTGGAATCTGTGTGTACCCAGCAAGGAACCTTCTCACTTCAGCACACCAAAGCCTTCCTCTAGCAAGCTGAACTGAGAGAAGTCATTTCCACCCACTGCCAACGTCAGACTTGCAGTCCTGGAGCTCCCAATGCTCACCAACCACTACATCTCTCTCCCCCAACCCAACCTCCCATCCCTTCCCCAACCACCAGGTCCCCCCCTCCCCAGCCCACCCAGGGGTCTCTCATCCCCAATCACTGCTCCCCCCTCCCCCATCTCACTCAATATCTGCCCACATCAGCACAGCACAGCCCACAAGCACACACTACACGTGTGCTCTGCCCAGAGCCACAGCCTTGGAAACAAACCCCAGCAGTCACTGCTCGCAGAACATTTCCTTCCAGCAGCCTCTCCCAGGAGGACCCCCCCCCCTCCCCATCCACCCTCTGCAGACAGCAGTGGCACCAACAGTGCTTACTCACAGACGCCGCTGCCTCTGGCTTCCCATCTAGGGAAGAGTGGAATTTGCTTCCTGAACTTTGCATTTCCATTCTGCAGCTCCTCAGCTGCAGGCACGCAGTCTGACTGCAGCTATGATCAGCCTGACCCAAATTCTGTGCCTGGAGACGGCGATGGGGAAGCTGGGCAGGTGTGGGCAGGGTGCCCCTCAAATGACAAAGCTGCCAGCTGCTTCCACAAGCCGTGCCACCAACTTACCTCCCCCAGCAGCAGGTATGGGACAGGATCCCTCTGACCTGTGGTCCTATGAAGGGCTGGGTGCAGAGCATCCCTCACAGCACGGCCTCCCTACAGCCATAGCAAGGGGCACCACCTACTCACAAGCGCGGTACGGCTAAGTGAAAACAGCAACAAAGCACCACTGCCCCGCTCCTGCTTTTGCTTCAAGGAGGTGCTGACACACTGATCTGTTGGCAGCAGGTGTATTGTTTCAGCAGATCCCCTCACCCTTTAAAATTAGCTCCTCGCCATAGAGAAGAGCAGGCCTGGGCTGTCACTCAGTGCTTTTCTTAGCTGTGCTCCCATGGGCACTTTGTGGGGCTCCACGAGGCAGAAGGAGCAGAGATGCTAAGTCATGCCCAGCTGCAGCAGTCACACGGAAAGGATGCCTGCCTCCAGAAAGGACGGCGGTGAGTCACACTGCTGCCATCTCACCTTCCACGGATGGGCACCAAGAGGATCCGGGGTTCATCCCTGTGCATGTTCCCATTCCCAGGAAATACTCAGATTACTACAGGATCCTTCTCAGAGCGAGATGCAGGTCCTTTAACAGCATACTCCTAACAGAAGTTATCACAGAGCTGCAGCCATGGCTGGAGATCCCTCTGGTCCCTCCACCCCAGCAGGAGCAAGGTGCCCAACCTGCAATGAGCTCAAAATGGGAACCTGGCAGGAAGCAGCCACTGAATCACACGCCAGTAAGCATAAAGCAATGAGTTGATACAAACCTTCACAATCAGCTTATGGCTGTGCAAGATAAACACAGCGCTTTAACTTCTCACTTCAGACAGGCTTACAGCTGTGCTTGTCAACAGCATTTCAGAGAGGAGACAGAGCTCCAGCCACCACTGCTTGCTGGCAGTGCAGCTTGCTCTATTTCCTCTCCATACATCTGCTGTCTCCCCACTTCTACTTCCCCACCCCCCAGCTCAGGCTGCCACTCTCACCTGAGCTTCTGCAGCCAAGGGCCCTCGCAGCACAGCAGACCCAGCAGGCTCTGGATGACAGCACGCACTCTGAAGCTATTCCTGCTGCAGAAGCAGGGCCTAACGTGGACCCAAGCAGATAAGGAAGCGAGCTGCAGCTGCTCCAAGCACTGCTGCTCCACCTGGGAGAGGACAGCTGGAGGCCATCTGAACAGGAGGAGTGTGAGCAAAACCAGTGCCTGGGGTAAAGCTGTGGGAGGAACACATCAGAGCGTGCTTTGGATAGGAAAATAAAAACGTGGTCAGAAAAAGGAAGTAGAACCAAGAAAGCAGAAGGAGAAGGCAAAAGAGGAAAAACTCCATCAGCTGCATGGAGTCTGAGCAGAAGCCTGACCGTGGCCCCTTCCCACTTGATGACTGCACTCCAAAACGTGTCCTGCCTTCAACTTCCACCAACTGCAGCTTCTACAGCCAGGCTGCAGATGAGCCCATAACAAACATTTCTGCTCCATAAGCTCCAAACATTTCCATCAACTCAAATTCCTTCGGGAAAGCATTAATGAAGCTAATGACGCACGCTTTTGCCATACACAATTATTCAGATAGCATGTAAATTAGTGAATTGAGTTTACTAATTAGCAAAGTAAGACATCAGTCTCCCGGCATCTGCATGTGTTGGGAAAGTTCTCCCAGTTTTCTGGAGATCTGAGACAAATTCTTCCTTCCTGCTTTTCAGACACCCATAGCATGGGGAGCCTGTGCTCCATCCACATCCATAGGGAAAGCTGGGCAGGAGGCTGGGCGAGCTCCAGGAAGGCTGCAATGTGGGCAGAGGTCAGCAAACACCTCCTC